ATCGCATGTTCGCATACATTCTTCTCAGAAACAAAATATTGTTATTCCCGAAGTGACGTCAAAAGCCAACTCGTCCCATTCTCCGCTATTCCTCGGTCATGAACATGTAAAAGGGTAAATTTGCAAACTTTAAAAATTCATAGAAAATTAATGAAAATAGCTACAACGATTATTTTTTCGCAGTGGTGATCAGAAGAAAAAGGAAATTTATATTAGCGAAAAAAAATTTTGGGGGTTAGTGGCACTTCAAACATTGTAAATATTTTTTTCGAATGCACCCAAAAAATACATTGACAACTAATGATAGCGGTGTTTCATCATGAACCCCCTAAGCGAGACAAAAATCCTCAATTTTATACCCCTAAGCGAGACGCCGAACATCCCCGACCTTTTCATATGGGAGTCCACTCCCCTTCCCCGGCAACAAATATTAACTTGAGTGAGGAAAGATTCCAACTCTGTTGACTGAGACTGTTATCTTCATTAGAATAGGGACATCATATTATTACAAAGTATGACCCTAGTATTCTAAACTTCAACGGTTTGTTAAAACTTCATAAGATACTCGGGGTAGCATTGATCGTCCGAAAATGCAACAAAGATCGTTGGATTTCCAGTGTCATATACAATAGAATCAAACAAAATTTCTCGCCACAGAAATTGGAGGAGGCGCACGCTTTGGAGAAGGCGCACTAATAGTTTCTGCTCCTTTACAGTACTGTCCCAATGGGACCCTTGCAAGATACATGCATCGGTTACAAATGCAAGCCCCGCTGTTCGTGGCGTAAGTTAAGGACGCAGCAGCATCTCTAGCAAAGTAAATTCCTTTTCTCAAGGAAGTTCCTGAAAAATCAAATGTACGGAGCTCGACTAGACCTTCAAAGAAAGAAAGGCTACCTTGCATAAAACGAATTTCAAAATGACTGGTTGACAACAGCCTCCAGCTCTTTCTCTCACTTACAATTCGATTGATCACTGCTAAAACTTTTTGTCAGATCCAGTGCTATATCATGATCAATGGCATCAAATTTTACATCAAGATTATGAAAGAGCTGGTCTGTGTGTAACATGTACACAGGTGGAAACTTTGTGTAAAGCTCTGCGTTTGGCATGGATTCAGAGGTTCCTAGTGACAACTAGGGGATAGAAAATTGGAACGTCATCACATGTTACTTCTTTAAGAACTATGGGGGCTTATACTTCTTGCTTCACTACAACGCTGAGGAAAACTTCCCGAAGTCGATCGAAATGCCATCCTTCTACAAGCAAAACCTGAGTTATTTTTTTGAAACTGAAGGGTATCTATGACAAGAACGGAGATCAGGAATAAACCCCTTTTTAACAACAAAGACATACGAATAGGTGCCGGTAAACCTGTGTTTTATCAGAATTGGTTTGACCAAGGGGTCTATCAATCTGTGACATTCTCGATTCCAATGTAAATTGCTTGACCTTTGTAAATTGCTGTCGGAAATGTAACGCAACAAATGTAACGCAACATTAAAACCTAAATCTCGCTACTTTAATTGACTAACAAACAGCAAGAAAAGCAACTGGAATTTGTCGAACAGGAATTAAAACAAGCCGTATAAAGTTTCAAGTTTAACTGTATCAAGAAAACCTGGGAAAAAAATGCGAAAACACATACCTAAATATTTCAAGGAACCTTTTTTTTTCAAAAATATATAGAGGATAATACATAGGCGCGCGTCGATATGGAATATCTCTTCTCGTGTGCAACTCGATGTCTATACAAGTAAACATCTATTATTTTGTTTATTATATAAACATAATGATAACGACGTTTCCGAAGATTGCCGAAGATTTCCGAAGACTTTCGAGGAAGACCCAAAGATGTGGGTGTCTGGAAGACCCGAAAAGCGAATAGCGAATAGCGAATAGTACCTAATAGTGCGAATACTCTCGAATAGTGCGATCAGTAGCGAATAGTCGCGAAAAGTGGCGAATAGTCGTCAATAGTCACCGCTTTAGATCTAATATCCTGCGTTAATTAATTATCCAAATAAGCAACAGAATTTCAGTGCATTTATTACCTTTTCTTCTCCGGACTCAGGCTAGGGCTGTCCATCGCCGACATTAAGAAAACAGAAAACACAAGGATAACCTAATAAGGACGAATTTACCCTTTTGCAGCGGTTAAAACAGAAGAAATTACGTTTAGAACCACCTTTTGTCCTGATAAGCGTCTGTGCTTTTTAGCGGGAAAATCCCATCGTACGTTGCTGCGAGGTTGACTGCGAGATACCGGGTACCCTATTTGCTACGATTTGCCACTATTTGCCACTATTCGCCACTATTCGAGACTGTTCGCCACTATTCGCACTATTCGTACTATTCGCTATTCGCTATTCGGGACTATTCGCTGTTCGCTATTCGCGACTACTCGCTATTCGCTATTCGGGTTTTCCAGACACCCCAAAGATGTCTCGATCAGACACCAACAAATTTAAATACAGTTTTTGGTTAAACATGATATCAGTGAAGTAATCGATACTTCACTAGTGAGGATATGGAAAATACGCCAGCCGAATAAATGTATTGAAGTGAATTTTACGAGTGATGTATTTTGCAATAAACCACTCGTGTCTATATAGTAAATGATGATGATGATGATGATGATATTTAACGAGGGAGCCCAACTCGCCATGGCGGTTTTCAGTGGGGCGCTAAAAAAAATCAAATAATTAATTAACTAATAATTTCTTAGTAACCAAACTGTTAAGCTTCATAGGGGCCTGTTCTGATCAAAATTATGCAAATTATTTCTAAAACACCGAATTAATAAAACTGATTGTTTTATTACTTTTACAGTAATTGTATTTACGTCTTCGAATAAATTTTACCTGCTTCAGGTTTTTTTCATTTCTTTCACATAGTGCATGAATTATTTTTTCATGCATGAATTCTTAGCAATTGCACGCTGCTTGAAAACCATTAATCCTAAGAGTGACATAACCGCCAGACCCAGTCTGCCGGGGGTTGTACTCACTTATATGAGCTATATATAGCAGGGGCGGGGCAGCAGACTTCTGGAATTTTCGTATATGCATCATCTAACGAAAAATGACGTCAAATCCGGTTTAAACTGTGCTTCGCAGCTCGTTTCACAAAGCGAGGAAATGGGGTTTCTATTACTCACGATTTCCCTCTATTTGTAAACCATCAGTTTCGTTTCATTTTATATTGGGGATGGAAAGATGTTGCAGACACATTACTTCGACTTTTTAAGCAAAAATTTCGGGAAAAGAGAAAAGTTTATTATTGTTTTGAAGCAAGATAACGGAGACTCTTCCCTCATCGTCGGGCGAATTTTACACATTTGCAAAACTGGTGTTGTTCCGACTTTTGGTTCTTGTTGTTCTTGATTTAGTGATAACAATAAGTGCAATAACCTATAATGTTAACAACAACCTGGATGAAGCCATAGTTTGCACTGTACTACGGGAACATAATTAACAGAAGCCATTTAGCTCCGAAAGTCGCTGTCACCAGCATTCACCAGAGCTTTTGTTGCTCTTGGCTCACGTGTATTGGTAGAAGAGACAAGCTGGATCGCATGCTGAAGGTCAGTATCCCACATTCCCACATCTCTCGCTGAAGATTGTTGTTTTCAGTAAGATACAGTACATATATATTGGTACTTTGGGGTCATCAGTCTCTTTCTCTTTGGTGAGT